GAGGGGGAAAGGGGGGAGGGAGGGAGGGAGGGAGGGGGAGGGAGAGGAGGAGGATTAGAGGTCTTTGTGTATATATTGATGTAGACAAACGTATTTAATTAATTAAAATAACAATGTATATCCTTTTTATTTATTTTTTTATATTTATTAATAAATAAAAACACTTAGCTGTGCATACACTGCGTATCCGTGCGTAGTTGTGTGTTGATTGTATACGAAACCCGTTCTTCTTCCCCCCCCGTGTCTACAAAGGGGAGGAACAAGGGAATAAAAAGGTATTTTTTGTGTATAATTTAGATATTATTTATAAATATATTAAAATAAGCAAAAAATAAACAAAAAAATGATTTTATTCCTCTAAATTATCTCCGTAGGTCTTATAAATACGTATTATTCAACTTTATCATGGACAGCGCTAAGACTGTGCTTATTCAATGTAAACAAACAATAAAAATAGGCATTTTTTTGCGATTTACACGACTAAACTTTGTAAAAAGAATTGAATTAATTGAATAAAAGTTTATTTTTCCTTTTTATTGATATATATTACCTAAATGCTTTCCTTGATCACCTGAAGAAACAGGAGCAGCAGCCGTCAACACACGAGCGGCAACAGCAGAATGTACAACATAATTGCAGGCTTGCCCCCCTCCTTTGCCGGTACTTTTTGCTGTTTTGTTTATAATTTACCTTATAATTAAACATAAAACAGAGTAAATCTTGAATAATCAATTAATTTCCTCAAAACAGTGATGAGTTGCACAGACACCGCAGCAGCAGCTTACTCAGCACACGGTCAAGGGCTGTCTGGTTGTGTATGGTAAGCGTTGACCAGGCAGCCATTTATGGATCTTCTTTGTATATTTACGTCAAATTATATATTTTTAACATTTTCTGATTAATAGTACGATAAAATTTCTTTTTTTCCTATCATTAGAGGTGCTTATACACCAGAGACGTGCGCGATCTGCATTCAGACCAAAAAACGAGGAGAAAAAGTTGAATATTTCTTCATTCGCCATGAAAGAAGATAATCTTCTTTCTTTATGTGGTGGTTGTGCCCCTTTAGCAGAAGAAAGTCGTTATTTAGGTGTACAATTTGCCTCTGTTGGTCAATGGCGCTTCCGTGTAGTTATTATGGACTCACAAGGTCCTGTACAGCAATTAGGACCAACCCCTGAGACAGCTACACCATTACAGAGCATTCTTGAGAAGCAGCAGCAGGAGGAGGAGCAAGAGCAGCAGGAGCAGCAACAGGAGGAGGAAGAGGAAGAAGAAGAAGAAGGAGAGGAAAATGACTCTCTTACTGCTTTTTTTGTCCATGGAGGAGGAGGACGCGCTGGACATTTTAAGCATTTAATTCATTTTTTAGCACAAAGAGGAATTCGTTGCGTCGCTATCGATCTACCAGGCCATGGACTTAGTCATTATTCAAGGGCAGCAGCAGCAGCAGCAGCAGCAGGAGCAGCAACAGGAGCAGGAGAAAAGGAAACTGCTGCTGCTAATACTGCTGCTGCTAGTGGTGATCCTGCTGCTGCTCCTTCTGCTGCTACTGCTGCTGCTGCTGCATCATCATCAGCGTCAGCAGCAGCAGCAGCACCACCACGAGCACGACGACTAGGAAGAGCAGCAGCAGCAGCAGCAGCAGCAGCAGCAGGAATTGGGGAGGATGTCTGCTCAATAGAGGATATGTGTACAATAATAAAAGCAACATATGATGCATTAGGGGAGAAAGAAGAAGAAAAAAGAAGAAAAAAAAGAAAAAAAAAAGAAAGAAAATGTATATTAATAGGACACTCATTGGGGTGTATACTCACCCTTCAGGTGTATAGGCAGCTAATAGAGGAAAAAAGAGAAAAAGAAATAAAAGGAATATGTCTAATAGGAGGAGATAATTATAATAAAAAAATAGGGGGAATAAGTTCTTATTTGCTGCATTTGCTGCAGTTGCTGCTGCTGCTGCTGCTGCGCATAATACATATACCTATATTATATCCTTTGCTGCTGCTGCTGCTGCTGCTGCTGCGTACCTTCTTAGGTTATTTTGTGCAGCGCATGCTGTACTCCCTATACACCCGAAAAAATAATCTGCTGCTGCTGCAGCAGGAGCAGCAAATTACATCTACTAATAATATTTTTGCTGTTTTTTCTCTTATTAATGCAATTAATAAAGGAATTATATATAAATTATTTAATCAAGGTATTTATTTATTTATTTATTTATTTATTTATTTTATTTATTTATTTATTTATTTATTTGTGTATATATATTTTTATATATTTATTTATTATTGTGTTTATTAGTAGATAAATAAATTTATTTATTTTATTTAATTAAATAATATATAAATGCATATAATAAATTATATATATGTATATATATGTATATATATGTATATATATGTATATATATGTATATATATGTATATATATGTATATGTACATATATTTAGTTATGTATTGTATACATACATATATATACAAATATATGTATATTTATTTTTTCCTATATATAAATAAATATAATAAATAAAATAAATAAATAAATAAATAAATAAATAAATAAATATAAATAAATAAATAAATAAATAAAATATGTATGTGTGGTGTATGCGCAGCTGCATCATATTTTTCTGCATGCAAATATAAACCACCAGTATTATTATTATACGGAGAAGAAGATCTTTTTTCTTCTTTTTCTTCTTCTTCTTCTTCTCCTTCTTCTTCTTCTTCTTCTTCTCCTTTTGCTGCTGCTGCTGCTGTTGCGCATGCATTAGGTCTTATTGGTATAGAAGGAGGGGGGCCCCCATTTATACCTAAGGGGGGCCCCTTACCTACTCCTTCTTATCTAAGATTACCTTATACATCCACAGGTGTACGTACACCCCATACACCAACAGCAGCAGCAGCAGCAGCAACAGCAGCAGCAGCAGCAAGATCAGATGCTGCTGCTGCAGAGGATGATTCAACATCTGCACAAACAGACGCAACAACAGCAGCAGCAGCAAAAACAGACACAGCAGCAGTAGCAGCATCAGGAGGGGGGCCCCCAGGACTAGATTGGGGGCCCCAGGGGCCCCTAACAGTAGCAGTAGTAGGGAAAGGAGGGCATAATGTTATGATAGAGAGGCCCCTAGAGGTAAATAATATTTTATGGGGATTTATTAAACAATTAAATAAATAAATATAAATAAATATAAATATAAATATAAATATAAATATAAATATAAATATAAATAAATAAATAGAAGGGGAATATATTTATTTTTTTTTTTTTTTTTTTTTTTTTTTTTTTTTTT